CTTTTTGGAGGGACGAATACAGAAACCTGGTGCACCGAATGCATGCCACAAGGTTGTGTATTAGGGGAATAATTTTTCATTTATACATGTTTGGTTAAATACCAATTAAAGTCTTTCTCTTAGTAGCTATTAGTTATTATCAAATACTATTCTACTAGTATTTTGAATCAATCTTTATGAAAGATCTTTAGTTTATTCAAAGAATTCAGTGCATGCCACAAAAATATCATTTTCTGAACTTATGGCATTTAACCTGACCTGAAAAGCCATCATTGTTTCTTTGGGAAACATACAGTTAACTTAGACAACAACTAGTGCTTACATAATATGTACCTACAATTGTCTCTATTTAGATACACCCTCAGAAATATACACCTGTACACACACATACAGACATTTATATACATGTATTATACAAAAATCTTCTCAAATTCCCAGAAAGTTTACTCCAGGTCACAATTTCATTGGTACTGTCATTCTCTGAGAGTATTATTCATAAGCATAGCAGAATCACTGATAGTCTAAGCATAAATTCTGTCAGATTAAATAGAGAAAATCCTTACCAAATAATTCTGATGCTTCAACAAAATCCTGACTGACTTTCAATGTTTCTTCATAAGTGATTTCCCTGGAAGGGAATGTCACAGTAATCTTTGCTTACTGCAAAGATATAGACAATGAATCTTGCAGTAATTTATCCAGACTACTTCAGAAATCCAACCAAGAATATGAAAAGATTACCATTACCAAGAGAAATTATTGCTAAAATATTATAGAAACTATCTCACATGTTGGATATTGTGGTATGTGGGGGCTTCCTTACTTTGCTAGATTCAACAGTAAGCAGCTATACAAATAATTAGCAGGATACAACTGGAAGTTTCAAAAGTCATAAAATCCCTGACCAAAAGCCCTATTCAGCCTCTTTTCCACTTTTCTCTTTCAGCAACTTCTACTTTCAAGCCCAGCTTGGTCGGCTACTCACAACCCTTGCTGAAGAAGACAGATGGCACTGTCCTGGCAGCTTGACTTCAGATTTTTCATTCCTTGTGAAAATAGGGGAAGAAATCTCCCTTCAAGACACCTAAACTGTTGTAATCTAGGGAAGGTTACTGAATAGAATAATCAAACGAAGGTTGGTAATGAATGATAATACTTAGAACAAGAACAGCACATATAAGATTTGTCAGTGTGTAGAAGTAGTAGTCAACTGCTAGAAGTAAGTAAAGTGAATTCCACAATGAATCTCCAACTGCAGACCAACATACAGTATTTACTACTGTATTTATGTGAATGGGGACATACCCATTATCGTCGTGTAGGTATGCTACAACACACCCAAAGGAAAAACTACACACAACCCTTGCTGCAGAGGACTTGCAATAGTCCTCACAGTTTCATACTCAGATTTCTTGTTTCTCCAATGGGGACAAGCAGAGAAATCTCTCTCAACAAAACATCTACTGAGGAATTTTATTAACTGGGAATGCCCATATTTTCCCCTGCAAAATACCACTATTTTGCACTCTTCTTCAACCAGAAATAAAAGCTGTTAAACAGTTATTTCGAGGCTTAGGTTTTGTTTATTCAACTCTCACTGCTGACCACACATACATACACACACACATGCACACACGCATACATGCAACTGGGAAAAATTCTTACAATATACAGTTTTAGTAACCCTTATTTCAATTTCAAACATTTTCTTGAATTTCATTGGTTGTTAAATAAAAAAATAAACATCAAGAAATTTCCATAACAAAACAGTAAAAAATTTGTGCAAAAGTAGGTTCAACCAACATAAAAAATCTTTCTCAAATTCATCCCTAATTTAAATGTTTCAAGAAATCCTATTGGCTAAAAAATAAAAAATACAACATTCATCCACACATTTCTCAGAAAAATTCGCAACAGCTACCAAGCCCCATTGAGCCGATTTTGTTGTTATTAAAACTATAAATAGAAATAGTAAATGAATTTTCTTCACATTTGAGACTCACACACATGAAAGATACACATGGGAATTATGTGCTGCCAAAAAAACAAACTTCCTTTATGAGTGATTAGAAAAATTTACACAACAAACTTTTTCACTCAATATCTTTCATAGAAAAAGATTTTGTCTAAGTTAAATTCAACCTTTTTTAATCAAAGGCAGACAACTTTTTAGACATTGAACATTTCCATAACAGCAAAGAACTTTTTCTCTAAAATATACTTTTGCACACATCATTACAAACAAAGAAATTGTAAATTGTGTATATAAAATTTAATCTGTTGTTTCAAACATGTATTTTTTTTGTCAGGATTGAATATCGTTACCATTTGGCCATTTCTTATAATTTATGTTTGTGGATATTTCATAGTTTATTTGTTGCACAATTTTAAATATTCATGCAGCCTTCCTAGATCCACTACACAGTAATTAAAAATGAGCAGAGGATAAGTTAATGATAATTTTTCTAATAATCTCCATAAGCGATGATCAAAAAGATTTTTAGTTCTAAAAATATATGTTTTAAAACTAAAAATCTTTTTGAATAATAAATGCAACAAGATCAAAACCAACTAGTTTTACAGCTATTATTAATTTTCACTGTTTTTTACTTTCATCTTAATTTGTCATTAGCTTTTTATTTCAACTTTACTCGGCAGTTGATGGCAACAAGTGGACAGTGTGAGTCTGAATTACTTAATTTCAGTTGTGCTGTCCCCTCACTATTGTAAATTGCCTGCCAGAGTAAAATTGTGATGAAAAGCAACTGGAAAAGTATTGCAAATACTAGTAAATCGGAGCTCGACAACAACCAGACTCTCTATATTTGTCTTGTCTCACTTGTGATCAAAAATGAAAATGGATGAATAAACTAAGGAAAAACACCAGGATGTGGTGCATTTAAATTCTGGCCTAGTTTGTTGCATATCTCAGCTATGCAACAACCAAACTTGGTCATGAGACATGATGATGATGATGATGAAGGAATAACGTTTGACAATGATTCATTTAATAAAAAACCAAATCAAATAATTTTGCTCCACTTGCCACTGTTTTATGTCATTGATAATAAAGTGCTGGATAATTCCTTTTTCTTTCTTTTTTTTTTTTTTCTATTAGAAGCAAAGATGTAAGAAATGCTTACAACTAAATTATGAAAGCTTTCAATGAAGTTGAACTGACAGATTAGAATTTTTTTTTTTGTTTTTGTTTTTTTAAATAACCTTTGAAATAAATAAATAAAATAACTAAATGCAAAATTAGATATAGATTTTCTCCAAAGTAATTACCTTCTCAAAATTTGTATATATAAAAGTTTTTTATCAAGTTGCCACGAATGCCAAAAGCAATAAAATCCAATTACAATTTATTAATAAGGAAATAATAAATATATATTTAAAATTTGTGTTTAGATATAAATAGGTAAAAAAAAAAAAAATCAAGGTGTTTCTAAGAAACTTGGGTTATCTTTCAGTATTCAAATAATATGAAAGAGATTAAAATATTAAAAATATTATTCATTAGAAATAAAGAAAAGGATACTGAATTGCTATGTCTTATCTATCCTGTTATATGGCAATGAATGCTGTACAATCTCATCAAAGATGAAGAAGAATTTCGAAGCAACAGAGATGAGGTTCTACAGACAGATGCTGAGAATACGACAGATACATGTGAGTCATGGGGATGTTTGAAGAAAAATGAGAGCTGAAAGGACACTTATATTTACAAATCATAGAGAGAGAGTTTAAATTTTTGGAACTTATAATGTGAAAAATATGTTTGGAGAATTTAACACCCATGTGATATATTGAAAGTAGGAGGGACAAAGGGAAATATTAAATGGCTTACCTGTTCAGTTTGTGCGAACAGATGACAGGGAATTATAAAAGAAATTGTAGGTAAAGAGTCAAAAGTTTGTAAGAGGAAGCTGTGAGGAGCCATGCTTAAGAAGAGGAATTTATGGAGAGCTGTGATTGCAACATGGTGAAGGAACATAGCCCATAAAAGAAGTCCCATATTAGATATTTCATTTAGAATATTAAATGTGTATGCAAATGTTATAACTATTATGGGATAGATTTTATTTTCTGATGTCATATCTATCCTATTATATGGCAGTAAATGCTGGACAATCTCCTCAAAGATAAAGAAGATTTCCACAGCAACAGAGATGTGGTTCTACATACAGATGCTGAGAATACGACAGATACATGTGAATCATGGGATTGTTTGAAGGAAAATGGGAGCTGAAAGGACACTTACAAATCATAGAGAGAGAGTTGAAATTTTTGGAACTTATAATGTGAAAAATATGTTTGGAGAATTTAACACCCATGTGACATATTGAAAGTAGGAAGGACAAAAAGGAAACATTAAATGGCCTACCTGTTGATTTTGTGCAAATAGATGGCAGAGAATTCTAAAAATAAATTGTTGGTAGAGAGTTGCATGCTTAGGAAGAGGAAGTTGTGGAGAGCTGTGACTGCCCACATAAGGAAGGTTTCATTTAGAATATGAAATGGGTATGCAAATGTAACAACTAAAGGGTGATCCAATCACTTGGACCGATTTTAAACTTAATTCAAATTTAAAATCAGTCCAAGTTATTGGAACACCCTTTATTATGGAATAGCTTTTATTTTCTGGTTATTTCTCAAGATTATCTTAATCCACATTAAATTCACATGGCTGAATATTTGTGCACATGTACACATGCAATATATATATATATATATATATATATATATATATATATATACATATATGTATATATAATGTGTGTTTGTGGGAGTGTAGAAGATGTTTAGATAGATGTAATGCATACAAATGGGAGAATGAAGAAAAGATGCATAAAATTTCTCAACATTACTAGCCATGAAAAAAAAGTTAATTTTAAAAAGCTTAGAAAGTCATTTTAAATTAAGAAAATTTAAAAATAAGAGAAAAATACATCTTCATATTTTGACAGTTCAGCAATCATCTTCAGCTAGTAATATGCTCATAAAAAGTAATTTAAAATTTTGTCTTGACACAAGCAAACTATTCTCATTAATTCTGTGAAAAGAGAGTGATTGAAATGGAAAGTGAGAGAGAGAGAGAGAGAGAGAGTGAAACCGAAGAAAAAGAAGAAAAAAAAGAAAAAAAAAAGAAAAAAAAGAGAAGAGAGAATGCATGAAGACAAAGTGACAATAAAAAAGAAAGGGGAAAGAGAAAGAGTAAGTGTTAATAAAGATGAGATAAAATAAGGTGAATAAATAAATAGAAATAGAAAGAATGGAAGAATTAAGAGAGAGAGAGAGAGAGAGAGAGAGAGAGAGAGATGATGAGGAACAAAAGAGAGAAGAACGTAAGTTTTGGAATAGAAAAAAATGTGGGGAGGTAGAAAGGGGAAATTATGGAGATAGAGAGAAAGAAAGAGACAGAAATGAAAGAAACCAAAACGGAGAGAAGAAAATAAAGGAGAGGTTGATAAATATGTGTTGACAAAGAGAGAGGGATGGGAATAAAAAGTAAACCATAAAAGAAAAAGAAAACTTGATTTAAAAAAGAAAAAAAAAATGGACAAGAAGAAAAGATGAAGGAAAATTTAAATTTTGGAAACAGAATGAATAAAGGGGGGGGAATAAAAGGAAGAGGCGATATATGAAAAAAAAGACTGGAAAAGAAAAAGTAAAAAAGAATGAAAGTGAGAGAATAAGAAAAGGAGAGAGAAAAGATGAATATGGGATAGAAGAAGAGAGAAAAGCAAAAGATAAAAGTTTAAGAAAGAAAGAAATGAGAGAGGGAAAGATAAATTGAGAGAGAGGCAAATAAGAGAAGGAAAGGAAGAGACAAATAAGAGAGGGGAAAAAAGCAATTGAGAAAAACAAATAAGAGAGGAAAAAGGGCAATTGTGAAAGATAAATAAGAGAGAGAGAAAGTGCATGTGTGAGAGAGATAAATGAGAGATGGAAAGAGCAATTAAGAGAGGTAAAGGGAGAGACAAATAAGAGAGAAAAAGGGATAGACAAATAAGAGAGGGAAAAGGGAGATAGATAAGAGAGGGAAAAAGAAATTGATAGAAACGAATAAGAGAGGAAAAATTGAGAGAGATAAATAAGAGAAGGAAAGAGCAACAGAGACAGACAAATGAAAGAGAGAAAGCACGCATGTGAGAGAGACAAGAGAAGGAAAGGTCAATTGAGTGAGATAAATGAGAGAGGGAAAGAGCAATTGAGAGAGACAAATAAGAGAAGGAAAGGGAGGGACAAATAAGAGGAAAAGGGAGAGACAATAAGAGAGAGAAAAGGGAGAAGAATGAGAGGGAAAAAGAAATTGAAAGAAACAAATAACAGAGGAAAAAGAGCAATTGAGAGAGAGACAAATAAGAGAGAGAAAGAGCAACAGTAAAAGACAAATGAGAGTGGGAAAGAGCAACAGTGAGAGACAAATGTGAGAGGGAAAAAGCAATTCAGAGGGAGAAATAAGAGAAGGAAAGGGAGAGACAAATAAGAAGGGGAAAGAGAGACAAATAAGAGATGGAACAGAGAGAGAAATAAGAGAGGGAAAAGCAACTGAGAGAAACAAGTAAGAGAGGAAAAGGACCAATTGTGAGAGAGAAATGATAGATAGAAAAAGCATGTGTGAGAGAGACAAATGAGAGATGGAAAAAGCAAATGAGAGAGACAAATGAGAGAGGGAAAGAGCATCAGAAAGAGACAAATATGAGAAGGAAAGAGCAACAGAGACAGACAAATGAGAGATAGAAAGAGCATATGTGAGGGAGACAAATAAGGGAGGAAAAAGAGCAAGTGTGAGAGAGACAAATGAGAGAAGGAAAGAGCAACTGAGAGAGACAAATAAGAGAAGGAAAAGGAAGATAAATAAGAGAGAGAAAAAGCAATTGCAAGAAACAAATAGGAGAGGAAAAGGAGTATTTGAGAGAGAGAAATAAGAGAGAGAAAAAGCATGTGTCAGAGAAACAAATAAGAGAGAAAAAGCAAAAGGGAGATACAAATAAGAGAGGGGAAGAGCAATTGCAAGAGTCAAGAGAGAGAAAGAACAAGTGTGAGAGAAAAAGAGAAATAAGCGAGGGGGAGAGCAAGTGTGAGAAATAGAAAAGGGAATGAGCAAGTGAGAGAGAAAGGGAGTGTTGTGCAAAAGAGTGAAAGAAAAAGAGTTACAAAACAGACAACTAATTGAGAGATAAGACAGAGAAAAGCAATAAAACAGTTTTGAAAAGAGAGAAAAAGATAAGGAGGCAAGTAGGAGAGATAATGAAAAAGTGAGATGATAAGGCATAGAGGAAAAGAGCAGCAAGTGAAAGAAAGAGCAAAATTTGGAGAAGGACAAAAAAACTCAGCTACATGCTTGGTCGTTGGCAAGACAGAGGAAGGGAAATGGGAAAGGGTCTCTCATTTGTACAGTATAATTTAATTTTTGCTATTCATTGCGAAAAATTCAATTCACGTATTAGCTGTAGCTGATTGAAATTTTTTAGCTCGTACACAACTCAAGTGGCTTTCACTCTTTACTTTTTACGGTTTGTTTGCATGTCATTTTAAGGAAAAAGTACACGGAAGCCAAAATATTGTTTTTTACTTTTTACTTACATTTTTTTTTGTTTCTTTTTCTAATCTTATTTGTTATTGATATTAGTATTTAGGGGTTTGGGCTTTAGTTTTTTCCTTTTTTTTTTTTTTTTTTTTGTATTTATTACATTTTTGAAGCTATTTTAGCTTAGCTTTGTCTCTGTTAATCTTTCATATGTTGCAAGATTCTGCAATTGATAAAGAGAAAAAATCATTTACCCAATTTTAAAATGTTGACAAGTGACATCTTTTCAACATTTAGTCACTCAGATTCAGGAAATAAAATTAAATATTTACTCATATTGACGGGTAATTACTGATACAGGGATAATAAGCAGAGAGGATGCATACATGTAGCTCTTAATCACATTCCTACATATCTGAGAGGGTGCTGAAAAGCTCTCAGCCTAATTTAACTTTTATTCTTTTTTTTTTTAAGAGCTTCTTGGTCAGACTGAGAATTTTTCAGTACCCTCTTATACATATATCTTTGTAGAAGAATACTAAATATTTCACTACTTTTCTAATAGTCAACAGCAACCAAAAGTTCTAAGGCCTTCTCTATTTTTTAAATTTTTTTTTTAAAGCTATTCACCCAAGAAAGGTAGGAGTGTCATTAGCACACAAAGGGTTACAGAGGAATGAGAACAAGAGTAAAGAGGCATGTTTGAGGAAAGGATAGAGAAAGATGAGGAACAAGCTCAGAGTGTCAGATGTCGATTGACATTACACTTGAATTGAAGATTATAGTCATCAGGGAAGCAAGTAAGTGGAAGGGAGTTCCACAGCTGGGAAGTGTGGGAGAAGAAGCTGTTTGAGTAGAAGAGACGGTTACATTTAACCGTTTTGACAGTGAAAGTGTGGGACCGAGATGCCAGCCTGGTAGCTCATTTAAACTCATGTAGTCCAGGAACCAGCAAAAGTAGCTTGTCGGAACAGTTGCCGTGAAAATACTTGTAGAAGAGACAGAGGGAGGCCATGGTACATCTGTGGGATAGCGATTGTAAACTAGATGCCAGATCAGGACCTATCATCTTACATATTCATCTCTGGATTCTGTCGAGGACCTCAAGACATACAGCAGGGGTACCAGACCATATATGACAGCAATATTCCATGCAAGGACAGATGGTTGATTTATACATTTGAAGGATGGACTCAAATGTGAAAAACTTTTTGGCACAACACAGAGAACTAACTTTCCTTGCAGTAGATGAAGCACTTTATTTACATGTAGACGATTATCCTCATCTTTGTTGTTATTATAACTTTTGACCATTGCGCCCTCTGTTTCTCATCAGGTGTTTTCCTTGTTGATCTGGATAACCTCAAAGTGAATCCTTTATTTAATCTTTGGAAGTAAATTGTTCTTGTTCTGCTGACCATGTCCAGGAATATTTTGTCTCATTCTTATTCAGTACTACAAAGTTATTGCTTACCCCAATTCCATTGATTTCAAGTTTGCACTGCACTGCTAAAGCTTGAACTCACAATTACGATGTCACCAAATTCATGAATTCGTGCTCAACTAGGCTCTTGTCCCATGAAATATGATAACAACAACAAAGATGAGGACAATAATCTGCATGTAAATAGTACAATTAATGGTAACTCCTTATCCCAGAAATTCAGACAAAAAAATAAGGCCTTCTCTGTGGACTATTCTGTGAGCATCCAATTTTAGTTCCTGGGGTACAGCATAGCGTAATGGTTACTGGTGCCAAAAATAAAATTACCAAACCAAGTTCAAGTTTCAATGGTGATTTTAAATTCACTCTGTACTACTGCACTTTAGAAAGGCATGAATCCACTTGTTCTCCACATATAGAAGTAAGTAGCAGAGTAGACTGGGTTCTTTAGCTTTGATGGCAGTGAGTTTAGAAGATGAATTTAAAAAAAGAAAGAATTGGAATGGGGCTAGCAATTCTAATCCATAAATCTTACTTGATATTGAAATCACAGCAACATTAGCATGGTTGCAATCCTATACTCTACGAGGATTTTACAGGAACAAAAATGGTAAAAGAGTGTCATACATCCACACAAGAATATAGAGTTCATGGTCGGAGAGGGCTCCAGGGCGCTACACATGCCCATTAGCTAACAGTAATTGACAAAGTCTGGAGTTGAATAAAATATTAATGTTACATATAAGAGATTAAATTATGGTAGGAATGGAAAGTATTATCGTTTCATGCCTCCTGGTACGTTTTTTTTCCCACAAACAATATTTGACAGACTCATGTGAGTCCAGGTAAAGAAAAAAAGACACAAAATCTGGAATTCAAACCAACAACAATTAATAAATATATTAACAAGACATGTTACAGAAGGATAAAAAAAAGAAACAAAGTTAACGTTATGAACAGTTCACTCAGTGACATGCAGAGATTTGGTAATGTTTGGTCAATTCCTTGATTGTATGTCCCTAAGACTCAAGTAGGTGGGGGGGGGGCCTATAGGGCCTAGTACTGAGAAATGTAAGAAAGGAAGACATTTTGAATATGTAAAAACAGAAGAAACATTAAATAAACACTTTATTCAAATTAAATATAAACTAAATTTTTATTTCACTCTTTCATTGGATGCCCTCCCAATATGGATGTCTGGGTCTATCATACTCTCTACCGCCCCCCTACTGTATGTTACTGAACAAGGCTCCATCATTTTATAATTGAATTGACTGGATGAAACTGTAAGTTCTTTACGAACAGTTTCTTTTCTTACACTTTTCACCTGTGAAACTCTCTTCCAGCTTCTTGCTTTCTTGTTTGATCTTCAAAAATTTAAATGCAATGTCAATCGTCTTCATCTATTGTTCTTGTTCCTTAATAATTTTTATCTTTTTCTTATTCTTTTACACTCAGTAACCCCCTTCTGTTTTAGTGGCTTTATTTCCTTACTTAGGATAAAATGATTATAGAAAAGAAAAAAGAGATGATCATTATGAGATAATACTTCAGCTATATATTTAAAGATCCTTGATAAAATCCAAATTAGAATCTGCAATGTTATTGTTCCTGACCCAGCATCTCAGCGGCAGTCACTTACCCACTGCTGTAATGTTGCTTCCTGATACTTTCATGGTAATGGTTCGGCTGAAATTTGCTCTGTGGTACTTAGACTTTATGAATTTAAGTGCAGTACTAGATTGGCAATAATGTCAGTGACATGCAGAGGTTTGGTGATGTCTGGTGATGCTTGGGGCCAACTCCTTGATTGTATGCCCCTAAGACTCAAGTAGGGGGGGGCCTATGGGGCCTAGTACTGAGAAATGTGAAAAAGGAAGATATTTTAAATATGTAAAAACAGAAGAAACATGAAACACTTTATTCATATTAAACATAAACTAAATTTTTATTTCACTTTTTGATTGGATGACCTCCCAATATGGATACCTGCAGGCATCACCCCCCCATCTTCTACACTCTACTGGCATAAATATATATCTTTTTTAAATAGTTGTCTTTAAGTTTATGAACATTAGCATTTGTTTCAATATAAGGCAAGCATATCTTTTAGTTTATCAGTCTATTTTAGTCAGTTTATTTTTTTAATATTTTAACTGCTGAGATAGATGTTTGTGACAAAAGTTAAAATTTCCTAAGATATTTAAATGACTTGAAATGAACTGAAATTTGTTCTACAAAATTTGCTAAGTGATACAATTTCTTCCAAGAAGGAACTTTTTTCCAACTAATAATTTTATTGATTATTACATATAAAACTGAATCTAACTCCTTTAATAGAACCATTATCAATCGGTAAAAGTTCATTCTTGGAAGATGTATAATTTAGAAATGTTTTCATTTTGCCATTTTGTGCGCACACACATACACACACACACATATATGTGGAATCAGTAAATCATAAACACTTCAAATGGATCAGTTATAACAAATTTAGTATAGTCGATCACAGTGACATGCAGAGGTTTGGTGATGTTTGGTGATGTCCGGAGCCTCTAAGACTCAAGTAGGGAGGTGTATATGGCCTAGTACTGAGAAATGTGAGAAAGGAAGACGTTTTAAATATGTAAAAGCAGAGAAGCCAGAAATAAGCAATTTATTTAAATTAAATATAAACTAAACTTTTATTTCACGCTTTGATAGGATGCCCAGGGTTATTGCACCCTGTGAGCCCCACTCTCTGCATGCTACTGAATTCATTATAATCTTCAATATTGTGTCTATTGGAGTGAAAAAAAAACTGTGTTGCCACTACAAAATTACTACAGCACCTGTGATTACTGCCAGAGGTGGGTAATCCAACAGTAACATGTCATGGCAACATAGCAGTACAAGCAATACTTATTTCCTATGATGTTTATTTATCCAATATTAATTATTTTCATTTATGTTTTTCTGAGTTACTTTCATTCTTTAGAATTCCTACATGTAAATATGTACTCATATACTAAAAAAAAAAAGTACTCTCTAGGCTGGGATAGAATTTGCAACCCCCTTTGTAGGAGAAACCACCATTTGATCTGGCATACTTTACTACTAATCTACAGAGAATATCACAGTTCCACAAAGCTTTATTCTCACTTTTTAAGTAAAGCACACTTGCTCATTCAGATATTTTTCTCAAATGCCCCTATCTAATCAGTTTTTTATCCAAAATGTAATCAAAGCAATTTCTAAAGAATTAATAGATTTATTTTTAATTCCAAATTTTTATTACTTCAAATGTTATTTTAGTGGATGT